ACATTTTACTTTGATCTTTTATGATGAAGAACTGACTCATCTTAGGTGTACAGTAGTGGTTTTTAGTTGTTTAACCCCGAAGAATATACCCCATGTGGATTCTCATTCGTGAAAGGGGCTCTTCCTTTACATATTTGTGACATGTGACTTAGTTTTATTTCAACTGTCAGCACTTTTATACTTGTTGTCAAAAGTATATATTACAAGTGTCAGCAGTTATATTCTTGTTGTCAGGAGTTTTATTACAGTTGTCAGCAGTTATATTCCTGTTGTCAGGAGTTTTATTACAATTGCCAGCAGTTATTTTCCTGTTGTCAGGAGTTTTATTACAATTGCCAGCAGTTATATTCCTGTTGTCAGGAGTTTTATTACAATTGTCAGCAGTTATATTCCTGTTGTCAGGAGTTTTATTACAATTGTCAGCAGTTATATTCCTGTTGTCAGGAGTTTTATTACAATTGTCAGCAGTTATATTCCTGTTGTCAGGAGTTTTATTGCAATTGTCAGCAGTTATTTTCCTGTTGTCAGGAGTTTTATTACAATTGTCAGCAGTTATATTCCTGTTGTCAGGAGTTTTATTGCAATTGTCAGCAGTTAAATTCCTGTTGTCAGCAGGTGTAGCTATGTTTTTGTCTGTCTCATCGATTGCATTCAACACATATAGTGATATTCTTTCATGAGAATTACTTTAGCAGCTTTATGGCATTGTTTGTGTTATGGAAGTACATGTACAGATTATCACTTGACATCCACACTGATGAAAGTATATCTCTCTGCCTCTGATAACCAAGAATTACAGGAACTGATGTTGTTGTTTTTGTTGGGTCAATGTTTATGTTCTTCAATGTACCAAGTTGATTACTTGCTGTAAAAACAAAAAAATATATCAGCTGTAAGCAGTGTGTGAAAAAGTTTCCAAATTTTGCTAGCCAGTCGTACAAGCTATGCCATCATTAAGCTGTTAATATGATGAACATGTTTATCAGGCCATAATCTTGCATGATTTAAAAGTGTATGATAACGTAACAAGTCGGAGAGAGTGAGATATTTACAAAATGACCTCATGAAAATTCACTAGCCATTTGGGCCAGTGACTGTGAAGATTTACTGGCCCAACTGGACTTTTGCTATACACGGGCTCGCAGGGTAGTGGCTATTTCGCACACTGGTTCCTTTCACAGTAGATTTGGAATCTGTTTTTCTGAATTTGGCACAGAGAACTTTTCCTTGTTGATGGATATATAAGCTATTGATATTCATCAGTGCATTGTTTTGGCGTGAAAATACTAAATACGTTTACACTTGATACCTCAAAACTAAGACACTTGGCACAGAATCACTTTTTGAAGAGGTATTCTTTAATGTCATAGTGAACATCCTATCTTTCAGATAAGAATAGGAATTTAATGGTGGTACAAATATTAGGACTGCAGATTTAGATATGGATTTATAACATTTATCATGACAATACTGATGAATTTCATGAACACTCTCTGCTATATGTGTTGAACGCAGTATCAATGAAATCGAACCCTTACAATACATGTACTTTATATGAATATGTTATCATGGATCTATCACTGATTTGCATTGTCTCTCGGTATGTGATTTATGTCATTTTAAATATGCTCTTATATCAAACTATCATTAAATCGATATACAGTGTATTACAGTGTACATGAAAACAATGAACAGTTGTGGTTTTCCGCAGTTAAGCTGCAGTGTGCAATCTCAAATCAAATCTCAATCACTTATCAAATTTGTTTTATTTACAAATATGTAGTCAATGTTAAGCAAGGTTGTTTTTTTAACAATAAAAGTGTAAAGACCATGTATTTTTATTTCTTTTAAGATTTGTATCCCCACAGAACGGTGGATACTGCAATCAGCATGTCCCTCCTTCCACCTGTCAGTCAGTGCGTTATTGTTGCTGGAATAATAGTCCCACACCAATACTATGTGTTGGTGAGACCCGTCTTCTTGTTGTCACTATACAGTCTGAACGCTGTATCTTCCATATTGACGCACAAATATAGTGGAAGTATACACCAACAGTTTCTTGGTATTTTTACATCAGCTTGAAGATGTCGCTCACTGCACAGAGACAAAGAAATGGTTGGTCGGTCGGTTGGTTGGTTGGTTGGTTGGTGTGTTGTTATTTAATGCAGCACTCGGCAGTATTCCAGCTATATTGCAGTGATCTGTAAATAATCGCATTTGGACCAGACAATCCAGTGATCAACAGCATGAGGGTCGATCTACACAATTGGGGTACAATAACATGAATTAACCAAGTCAGCGAGCCTGACCACCCGATCCTGTTAGAAAGCATGGGTTACTAAAGATCAATTCTAACCTGGATATTCACAGGTAGACAAAAAAACAGACTCAGTCCATATCTGTGATTTACTGGCCTTGTCAGCCCTACTAGACAGCCTGTGCAGATAAAAAAGACACAGTTTGTGTTATTTTGCAATTGCTTCTGCTGCATTGTACATTTCACACCTGCCACTCCACAGAGCATCAGTATAATTAGGTAATTTTCCTGTTCCCATCTTCTGCCCTCACTGAATTTTTCGATGTGAATTAAAATAACATATTCTTATTTCAGTCTTCCCAGCCGCCATGACAAGTCGTGCCCTCATGTGGTAAACATAAACAAAAAACAACCTCTCTCCCTTACAGACTCCTGAAACAACAGTCAGATTGATCTTTCTTCATCGACATTTATTAAAAGATTGATTCCGAGGCTAAACGACTTGATCTTCCTAATGAATTTATTTAAATACTAATTCCAAGTAATCTAACTATTGACTAAATTTAGATCGTCACTGTGGAAGTGGATCTGGCGTCGGCCCGGAGAGCGGAGGTAGGTTGTTGGGGTCCGGCCGTATTGAACAACACGAGTGTACAGATATGGTAGTTTTTGTTTCCCTGCCTGGCGCTAAGCATTAACAACGGCTGGTCAGGTCGGAATCTATAATTTGTCCCAGTTTATCTCATTGACCAAGCATTAATACGCGTGCACACGTCTGGACTGACATAAGCAGTCACTCGCATGTACGCATGCAGATTGCTATTAAAATTAATATCAGTCAGAGATGATATACGCGTACCAGTGAACGGACCCGTGAAGATCCAGGTAAGAATTATTTTTCAGCAACAACGGAATCGGGTGGTCAGGCCCGCTGACTTGGTTGACACATGTCATCGTATCCCAACTGCGTAGATTGATGCTCATGATGTTGATCACTAGATTCTCTGGTCCAGACTTGATTATTTACAGACCGCCGCCATACAGCTGGAATATTGCTGAGTGCGGCGTTAAACAACAAACCAACCAACTAACAAACAAACCAGTGAACGTTAAACCCCATGTCACCTTACCCAATGCAAATGTACGGTTCATACCAATAAAGGCAAGGTACGATATGATACTTATGATTGACAAGTTCTTTGTTATATTACTAGTTGACGTCACGGTAAGGATTCTCACGCTGTTGAATAGCATGAGTGAAGTACTACAGCACAGAACAGAGTTAAAACTAACTACAAGCGAGTCCGGTAAATCCGCGCGTCCGGTAATTCTGCGCAACTGCAATGGCGTACTTCCGTATCGAGGTAAACATCGTCTGCTACCACATTTACGCTTGAAATCGGGACATTTCTACAAGGGACTGGCTTTTAATCACTAAAGGTAAGTAAATAACAGTAATTGACAGATAAATGGACAGTTTTATGAAAATTCGTTTTCTTCAGACTTTTAAACCTTTTTCTTTATTATTCATAATTGGATTTAATATGAAACACTCTTCCTTACATTGATGAAGTGATTTTTGAAAATAATCTGGCCCTAATACGCTTCCATACTTCGGATCTCCAGCTGGATGTTATGCGCATAAGTTGCTGCGCAGAATTACCGGACAGCAAGCGATGTGGTCAGAACGCCGGTAAGGTCAACCGTATGGCATAATGCAACGTTAGAATCTTTTAGTCGTCAATAAAACGTATATTTCTAGGTAAATATGATGCATACCAGAATGTTTAGTCACGTAAACCACAAAAAATAAGAGACGTTAGTTGTCGTGTTGCGATCGATGTGCTTAGGTGCGCGGAACTACCGGACGGCATTGTATATGTATCGTCGGGTCATGTGTTTTCTGGCGTCACATTTCTTATAACTTGAGTAATTGTTCATGCGACATTCGCCGGAAAATAGCAGATGTTCTTAAGCGTAAAAAACATAAATAACAAACCGAGCTAAAGAACATATCCTTAATGTTCTGATATTGTAGGGCCTGACATGTCTTGATCTTATTTCTAACATACAATATATGTTTAGTGTCTTATCTTTATTCCTAATGTGAGTGAGTGAGTTAAAATTTAACTTTGCATCGGCGAACATTTGAGTTCCGCCCAAAAGGCACATGTACGCATCTTCGTGGGTACGAATTGTCCTGTTCCAGAGCCTGTAATCTTGACTTGCCAAATATAGAGTTACTTGGGAGTGTTTGGATATATTTCTGTCAGGGCCTACAGGACAGACTGGCTTGCTTTTTTCAACACCATGAAGGTAATTATGTTAAGCGCTAGCTTAGAGCACAATCAGTCCAGCAGATATATCGCGATCTCCATTTGTGATTTTAAGATATCCTCCCTAAATGTATGAGACTTTCATGGCTTTGAGTTTTTCCTGACATATCACTAACTCACTCACAGACGGCCATGGGGAAAAACGCTTTGACTAACCTACACACATACGCGTGCTACACCATTTGGGAGAGACGGTTCTAAAATAAATGGAGCACACAGAAATATATTTGAAAATGTTTAAATTATTGCCTTTTCAAATATAACAACTACTTGTTTACAGAATATTTTATTGCAAGGAAAGCCAAATATATGTGTCAATCGATACACATCGAGCCGGCACGTTTCCGAGATATGTACAGTGCGTGTGGTGTTCCGACTGTTGCATTACCCATAATGCATCAGGCAACATGGCCACATGTGTTGTTTACGTTCACGACCGACCAAGCTATACATTTCAATTTCGTGTACTGCGATAATGTCAATGACGACAATTGAAATGAAATGATGGCAATACGAGGATGCTTCTTCACAATATCTCGGCGTAAATTCGTTCTTGTATTCTGTGAGTAAAAAAACTAATTTAATTACTTCAGAAAGTTGATCAGGACGAGACCCCACGAACTTCATGACGAATACAGTACAGTTTGACCACAGGAACCCGTTATCGGCATGTAGGTTAAACATAGACCATAGATCTACACGCATGTCCCATATAAATGCCGATAACGGGTTCCTGTGAGTTTGACTTGCAATTTATGTATTTTCTCTCTGCGTTTTATATCCCTTCGAATTCAACGTTTTCACCTGCTATATTTGTAATACCGCTACCGAAATTTCCATTGAAAAATTTGTGTGGACTTTGTTAAAAATTCCTTTAAAACATAAACATACGCCACTGAACACCAGATATATACATTTCGGTCATAAACTAAGGGGCTTGTATTGCTGAGCATAATATGTCCTAGGTCCAACACTCGTTCACTGATAGCCATCCTCATAAATATATATGTAGATGGTTATCAGTGAACTAGTTTAGGACCTAGGACGTATTAATTCAAGCAATAGACGCACCTGCCACCAAGCTGATCTTCTCTACCATCAATGACCAGTTATGATTTATGCAGCATGAATGTTTTGTATATTTCGTCAAATAAAGAAAAGTAAACACACCCAGGGATTTTGTTTGTGGGTACTTGTGGACAAGGATAATATGTGATACAAAGTTGTTTAATGCCGCACTCAGCTACATGGCGGAGGTCTGTAAATAATCACGCCTGGACCAGACAATCCAGTGATCAACATCATAAGCATCAATCTATGCAATTGGGATACGATGACATGTGTCAACCAAGTCAGATAGCCTGACCACCCGATCCCATTAGTCGCCTCTTATGACAAGCATGGCTGGGTTTCAGAAGACAAATTCTTACCTGGATCTCATGATTGTTTTGGAATACAGGAATGATATTTTGTTATAACCTAAAACTGGTTGCAAGGAAATAAGTGTCTTGATATGAGAATTACTGCTGGCACGAAAAAAATCAACTCATTTCCTGTGAAAATACATGGTGCACAGAATACAACATATACAGTTTTCAATATTGTAAACTGTGTTTTTAACAAACACCTTTATAACGAACTGAGAGACATGACAAACTTTTATATCCTCGACCACTTGATATATGTTTAGTCATAATGAGTACAATGTATAACTAACTGTGGATACAAGTGATCCCTTTGAGTTTGTTATAGCCTGCTTCTCTCAGTGAACAAAATGGTAGCGCCTTGATAGTACTGTCTACAAGTATTTCTGTTTTCATTTTAGGTAATGGATAACATGTGTTGAGCTTTGGCCAACTCGACCTGCATGATGAGTGGGCGGGACTACAGGTCCTTCATCACCAACCACAGGGCAGAGGGGATGGGTAGGTGTCAGGTCATTTACAAATTTGGACATATCCTACTTCTGAATTCTACATTGGTTGCAGTGTTACAAATATGAACTCAGTATTTTATTCCTCATTAATTATTTTTGATGCCTTATTTTTATGTTACATAATTCCTCTTTTTTTGTTTACAAGAATGCCTGTCATCGGTAATCAAAGATGAATTAAAGATGTGGTCAGATATGATAAAATGTTGTACATTCCAGGGATATTTTCAGAACATTTTAAAGTAAATTATTGTGGTTACTTAAATTAAATTGTAATTTAATCTGTGTAGTGATGTTTTACTTTTAGCATGCATCAAAGTATAGGATACTTAAAATTCTGAAGAAGTGCAAATTTACAATAAAATAAGAACATTCAATTTTGTTAGTGGTATTCAATAAAAATTCAATAAAAATAGGATGAAATGAGTGTTTGTTGAATATGACATTGATAGAACATTGATAGGTGACCATCCCAAGAGACCAACGTTTGACCAAGTCAAAGTGGGATAAGTTGTATGACTGTTATTACCTTCTAGCACCTTACGGGGCAGTGGGGTAGCCTAGTGGTTAAAGTGATCGCTCATCACTGAAGTTTCGGGTTCGATTTCCCACATGGATACAATGTGTGAAGCCCATTTCTGGTGTCCCCCAGGTGGAAATAACCCATTGCCCAACGTCCGAATCATTTTAGGTAATGATTTTTAGGTAATGTTTTTTCTGTCGGGCAAGCAAATTTGTATATCACGCTGTACCGGTGTCCAGTTGACTTTCCAATGTTAATAATGTTATTTATTTAAAAAATCAACAAGAAAATGGCCAGTATAGTGGAAAAATTATTAGGACAAGTGATATTACATGTGCCACTGTACCGGAGTACACTAGCAATTTTAAAGTTATTCCAACCCTGCCCCCACCGTGATATTGCTTGAATATTGCTAAAAGTGGCGTAAAACCCAACTCACTCACTCACTCACTCTAGCACCTTACAGGCAGCTTGGTTAACCAGGTTAACAATGTGTCAGTGCTCTAAGCATGGACACGTGCATGGCTACAGGTACTTTATAAATGTCTATTATTAAGTCATGTCACTGCTGCGATTGTCGAGGAGATGATGAAGAATGTGAGTTGGATCATATTGGCATTTACCCCTATATTTAATATGGTATGGGTTGAGCTGACTTATCTTCAAAGACGTCAGTTATTACTTCATTATGGTATATGATATTATTGACTGAAAACTTAATTCACCATTTGTGTAGATCGCCTTGTCCATCGGATGTCAGATGGCGTACGCAGCAACATGTATGACCACAATGTGGACTACAACAAACTCAAGGCCATGGCGATGGAAAAGAGGTTTTCTGGTCACAAGACATTAATGAAGGTGCAGAAAATTGAACAACTTTCGAAACAAACAAAAGAAAACCATTTGTTGAAGCAACAGCGTTTAGTGTGGCAGAAGGAGTTCATACACTTGAATCATCTCCGCAAGAAGCAGGGGGCAGAAATTGACCTACATGTTCAGGAGAATTGTATCGTGGCAGCTTGTCGTCAACTGTATCAGGATGCTGAATACTACCAGGCTGGACTGGACAAAGACCTGGAGAAGTTTAAACTGGACACTGTGGAACCGGTATGGAACCTCAGGTAACCCTGGTAACAAGAGTATGAAATTATGAAGACTGGTTTATATGTTTGAAATTATTAGTAGATGTTGAGAAAAATGATAGTGCTGTACAACCTATCATCAATATTGGTGCTATTGGTGTGTGGATGTTCGGCTGATGTTCAGGAAAATGAAGATGTATTTGACATGTTTAAAGTTGTTTGTAATTGGCATGAGAGTGGCAGGTGTAAATGGATTTAGGATTATCATTTTACCATTATGCTATGCCACCCAACACATTTCTCCGTGCCACTGTATTCAGACATCAGCCAACCCCATCCCCAGGGATGACATGATCTTGTTGTTCCAGAGATGACATGATCTTGTTGTTCCAGAGATCCCAGTGATGACATGTTGTTGTTCCAGAGATCCCAGTGATGACATGTTGTTGTTCCAGAGATCCCAGGGATGACATGATCTTGTTGTTCCAGAGATGACATGATCTTGTTGTTCCAGAGATGACATGATCTTGTTGTTCCAGAGATCCCAGGGATGACATGATCTTGTTGTTCCAGAGATCCCAAGGATGACATGATCTTGTTGTTCCAGAGATCCCAGGGATGACATGATCTTGTTGTTCCAGAGATCCCAGGGATGACATGATCTTGTTGTTCCAGAGATCCCAGGGATGACATGATCTTGTTGTTCCAGAGATGACATGATCTTGTTGTTCCAGTCCCAGGGATGACATGATCTTGTTGTTCCAGAGATGACATGATCTTGTTGTTCCAGAGATCCCAGGGATGACATGATCTTGTTGTTCCAGAGATGACATGATCTTGTTGTTCCAGAGATCCCAGTGATGACATGTTGTTGTTCCAGAGATCCCAGGGATGACATGATCTTGTTGTTCCAGAGATCCCAGGGATGACATGATCTTGTTGTTCCAGAGATCCCAGGGATGACATGATCTTGTTGTTCCAGAGATCCCAGGGATGACATGATCTTGTTGTTCCAGAGATCCCAGGGATGACATGATCTTGTTGTTCCAGAGATCCCAGGGATGACATGATCTTGTTGTTCCAGAGATGACATGATCTTGTTGTTCCAGAAATCCCAGGGATGACATGTCTTGTTGTTCCAGAGATCCCAGGGATGACATCTTGAGAGATCTGATCTTGTTGTTCCAGAGATCCCAGGGATGACATGATCTTGTTGTTCCAGAGATCCCAGAGATGACATGATCTTGTTGTTCCAGAGATCCCAGGGATGACATGATCTGTTGTTCCAGTTCCAGAGATGACATGATCTTGTTGTTCCAGAGATCCCAGGGATGACATGATCTTGTTGTTCCAGAGATCCCAGGGATGACATGATCTTGTTGTTCCAGAGATGAGATCCCAGAGATGACATGATCTTGTTGTTCCAGTTCCCAGGGATGACATGATCTTGTTGTTCCAGAGATCCCAGTTGTTCCAGGATGACATGATCTTGTTGTTCCAGAGATGACCCAGGATGACATGATCTTGTTGTTCCAGAGATCCCAGGGATGACATGATCTTGTTGTTCCAGAGATCCCCAGGAGATGGATGATCTTGTTGTTCCAGATCCCAGATGACTTGATCTTGTTGTTCCAGAGATCCCAGGGATGACATGATCTTGTTGTTCCAGAGATGACATGATCTTGTTGTTCCAGAGATCCCAGGGATGACATGATCATGATCTTGTTCCAGAGATCCCAGGGATTGATCCAGTTCCAGAGATGACATGATCTTGTTGTTCCAGAGATCCCAGGGATGACATGATCTTGTTGTTCCAGAGATGACATGATCTTGTTGTTCCAGAGATGACATGATCTTGTTGTTCCAGAGATCCCAGGGATGACATGATCTTGTTGTTCCAGAGATCCCAGGGATGACATGATCTTGTTGTTCCAGAGATGACATGATCTTGTTGTTCCAGAGATGACATGATCTTGTTGTTCCAGAGATGACATGATCTTGTTGTTCCAGAGATGACATGATCTTGTTGTTCCAGAGATGACATGATCTTGTTGTTCCAGAGATCCCACATGATGATTGTTGTTCCAGAGAGATGATCTTGTTGTTCCAGATGACATGATCTTGTTGTTCCAGAGATGACATGATCTTGTTGTTCCAGAGATGACATGATCTTGTTGTTCCAGAGATGACATGATCTTGTTGTTCCAGAGATCCCAGGGATGACATGATCTTGTTGTTCCAGAGATGACATGATCTTGTTGTTCCAGAGATGACATGATCTTGTTGTTCCAGAGATGACATGATCTTGTTGTTCCAGAGATGACATGATCTTGTTGTTCCAGGGATGACATGATCTTGTTGTTCCAGAGATGACATGATCTTGTTGTTCCAGAGATGACATGATCTTGTTGTTCCAGAGATGACATGATCTTGTTGTTCCAGAGATGACATGATCTTGTTGTTCCAGAGATGACATGATCTTGTTGTTCCAGAGATGACTTGATCTTGTTGTTCCAGAGATCCCAGGGATGACATGATCTTGTTGTTCCAGAGATGACATCTTGGGATGACATGATCTTGTTGTTCCAGAGATGACAGGTTGATGACATGATCTTGTTGTTCCAGAGATCATGAGTTGTTCCAGATGACATGATCTTGTTGTTCCAGAGATCCCAGGGATGACATGATCTTGTTGTTCCAGAGATCCCAGGGATGACATGATCTTGTTGTTCCAGAGATCCCAGGGATGACATGATTTGTTGTTCCAGAGACCAGTGACCAGGGATGACATGATGACTTGTTGTTCCAGAGATCCCAGTTGGATGACATGATCTTGTTGTTCCAGAGATCCCAGGGATGACATGATCTTGTTGTTCCAGAGATGACATGATCTTGTTGTTCCAGAGATCCCAGGATGACATGATCTTGTTGTTCCAGATCCCATGACACATGATCTTGTTGTTCCAGAGATCCCATGACCTGATGTTGTTGTTCCAGAGATGACATGATCTTGTTGTTCCAGAGATGACATGATCTTGTTGTTCCAGAGATCCCAGGGATGACATGTTGTTGTTCCAGAGATCCCAGGGATGACATGATCTTGTTGTTCCAGAGATGACCTTGAGGGATGACAATGATCTGATGTTGTTCCAGAGATCCTCAGGGATGACAGAGTGATCTTGTTGTTCCAGAGATGACCTGATATGACATGTTGTTGTTCCAGAGATGACCTGATGTTGTTGTTCTAGAGATGACCTTGATGTTGTTGTTCCAGAGTTGACCTGATGTTGTTGTTCTAGAGATGACCTGATGTTGTTGTTCCAGAGTTGACCTAATGTTGTTCCAGCAATGACCTGATGTTGTTGTTGAGATGACCTGTTCCATTGTAATGTTGTTGAGATGACCTGATGTTGTTGTTCCAGCAATGACCTGATGACCTTATGTTGTTGTTCCAGAGTTGACCTGATGTTGTTGTTCCAGAGATGACCTATGACCTGATGTTGTTGTTCCAGCAATGACCTGATGTTGTTGTTCTAGAGATGACCTTATGTTGTTGTTCCAGAGTTGACCTAATGTTGTTGTTCTAGAGATGACCTGATGTTGTTGTTCCAGAGATGAGAGAGATGACCTGATGTTGTTGTTCCAGACAATGACCTGATGTTGTTGTTCCCTAGTTGTTGTTCTAGATGACCTTTGTTCCAGCAATGACCTGATGTTGTTGTTGTTCAGATGACCTTATGTTGTTGTTCCAGAGTTGACCTAATGTTGTTGTTCTAGAGATGACCTGATGTTGTTGTTCCAGCAATGACCTGATGTTGTTGTTGTTCCAGAGATGACCTTATGTTGTTGTTCCAGAGTTGACCTAATGTTGTTGTTCTAGAGATGACCTGATGTTGTTGTTCCAGACATGATCTAAATTTGTTCCAGCAATGACCTGATGTTGTTGTTGTTGTTCCAGAGATGACCTTATGTTGTTGTTCCAGAGTTGACCTAATGTTGTTGTTCTAGAGATGACCTGATGTTGTTGTTCCAGAGATGATCTAAATGTTCCAGCAATGACCTGATGTTGTTGTTCTAGAGATGACCTGATGTTGTTGTTGTTCCAGAGATGACCTAGATGTTGACCTTGTTCCAGAGATGACCTGATGTTGTTGTTCCAGAGTTGACCTGTTGTTCTAGAGATGACCTAATGTTGTTGTTCTAGAGATGACCTGATGTTGTTGTTCCAGAGTTGACCTAATGTTCTAGAGATGACCTAATGTTGTTGTTCTAGAGATGACCTGATGTTGTTGTTCCAGAGTTGACCTAATGTTCTAGAGATGACCTAATGTTGTTGTTCCAGAAATGACCAGTAATAATCTGATGATGTTGTTGCTCCAGAGATGACCTGACCTACTGGCTGAAGGAGAACAAAGAAGAGTTACGTCTGGGTGCCCCGGAAGTGATCGAGCATCACGCACAGATCATGGACACCATCGCCTCTGTTAAACAGCAGCAGGAGGACATCTTAGATAAACTGAAGCAGGAGCAGCGATTCCTGGAACAGGAACTTCAGTCAGGTGGGCCGTTGTCAAGGTTACAAGAATACAAGGAATCACTTGGTGTTACAACACTCATTGTCCAGCTGACCAGTATGATAGCAAGTTAGATTAGTGATGTCAGATGTCAACTGCTTCAGCTATTCATGAAGCCCTATCACTTGACTGTTTTTTACCCCTGCTTTTTTAAGTTGAGGTAAAACCCTGTTACTCCTTTTGCTTGGTCATTTCAGAAGAGTTGCAGGAGCTCTGTCCCCCTCAGATGGAGAAGCGACCCAAGTTTGTTGATGGCATTCCTCCCGAGGCCTACGACCTTGAGTGTCCAGATGAGAGGTTGAAGGTGTCAGTGCTTGAGGAGTTCTTGATCCTGGATCAGAAATACTATGCTCGCCTCGCTGACCTCGACAGCAGACACCGGAAGGCTTTGAGGTAGGTGTAGATGTAATAGTGTGAAAAATTTAAACAGACTTGACCTTGTCCATTGTCATGGCATCAAACCCAGTTGACTCACTCACTGAAACTTTGGGCTAAGCGTTTGTTGATGCTGTTGCTGTTTACAGCAGTGACCATACAGGAGGCTGGGACGATGAGGACCACTTCACATTTGTGGCAGTGTACGACCAATATCCCACGGAGTTACAGAACAGGCGGAAACTCCTTGTGGACAGACTGAAGCGCCACCTACCTCACTTGAACAGGGCAGAACTTGTGAGTTGTTAGCTTGTTTTTCTGTAAAGTTAGCTCAGTAGTTTGTTCAATAAAAGGCATCCCACCTTGTTAGTTGAGCTCATGCCTCTGCCTCGATTCCCTCCATGTGTCTACCTCCTGAACCAGTATTCTAGTATTCACTTCTTGGAGGTCAAACTCAGGAAGATTTCAAGGCTAACATCGATTGAACGACTGAGTTTTCTTTTTATACCCCATTTAACAATGTCACACCCTCTCCAGTAATGGACATCAGGAATGAGCTTTATATACGGCACCCTTGTGAGGAGCGGAATGAGAGTCCTCCAGTTGAGTCAATGCTTTAACCACATGGCTACTGTCTCACTGTCCAGACACCTCTGAAGATCCGGGTTAGAACTTGCCTTCAGCAACCCATGCTTGTCGTTAGAGGCGATTAATGGGATCACTGTCTTCGTTGACACGTGTCATCGTATCCCAGTTGTGTAGATTGTTGCTCATGCTGTTGATAACTGGATTGTCTGGTCCAGACTTGATTATTTACAGACCACTGACATATAGCTGGAATATTGCTGAGTGCGGCGTTTAACACGAATCAAACAAAACTCATTGTCCAGGCACTGGAATGATACTGGAGTTAGCCTTCCTTGTTCTGCTGTTGTTGGGACTGACTCCTCAGATATCTGTTCAGTATATTCATTGTTTGTCATCATTCTTCAATCTTATTTGTGGTGTGAAATGTTATTTGTTGCCTCCAGATATTGCAACACATCAGTTTAACAACACAACTAACAGGTACACACGTCTTCTACTCATGTGTTAACCTCCTGCCGCTAGACTCACAGACAACCTGAAAGTGTCTGCTCGAAGTAAAGATGGCCAGGAATCAGTCAAGTGCTTACAGAGTAGTGATCACAGAGGATTCAAAGTCATTTTACGTACACTTCACTGACTTTGCCCACCATGTGATGCAGACTACCCATCCAAAGTTTAGACTCACTAGTGTATATATAGCCACTTACTTCAGTCAACTGTTCTACACTAGATTTTGAAAAATATTCCATACAGATTAAAGGTACTGTTTGCACATGAACTGATGTATTGTAAAACAACTTCCTAACGTTGAAAAGATTATTGTCATGAGTTCCATGAATAATGAAACTCAGTGAAATTCTTAACAAAACTCAACACCAAAACTGTTCACATGCATGATATTTGCACATGCTTTTCAGCAAGTTGATGCATGATCCTCCTACAAAAGTTTGTAGTTAGTTTTATGAAGTTGTAGAGAATTTCATCTCCGATGTAGCCATATATATATACATAACATATAAAGTGAGTTCTTTAAGTCTAAACTTTTGATGGGTAGTGTAGTAAACATTTGAAAGTCTACAGTTCTAAGAGGCCGACTAATTACTTGTTGTTATGTTGCTGTAGATGGAGCATGAGGACTGGTGGCTAGACTTCAAGCATTATAATGAGCGGCACAAATCCATCTTGTCTGACTGGCTCCGTGACCGTCGGGAGCTGTTGGTGAAGGCCAGGCTGGTGTTTGCTGAGGCTGCTGCTGCCCAGGACCTGGATGACCTGAAAGAGAACAGCAGACAGAAACAGCTGGAGTTGTGTGAAGCCCTGTACTCTCAGGTGAGACACTGATGACCTGTACACTCAGGTGAGATAGTGATGCCCTGTACACTCAGGTGAGACACTGATGACCTGTACACTCAGGTGAGACACTGATGACCTGTACACTCAGGTGAGATAGTGATGCCCTGTACACTCAGGTGAGACACTGATGACCTGTACACTCAGGTGAGATAGTGATGCCCTGTACACTCAGGTGAGGTGAGATAGTGATGCCCTGTACACTCAGGTGAGATAGTGATGCCCTGTACACTCAGGTGAGATAGTGATGCCCTGTACACTCAGGTGAGATAGTGATGCCCTGTACACTCAGGTGAGACAGTGATGCCCTGTACACTCAGGTGAGATAGTCAGGTGAGATAGTGATGCCCTGTACACTCAGGTGAGATAGTGATGCCCTGTACACTCAGGTGAGACACTGATGCCCTGTACACTCAGGTGAGATAGTGATGCCCTGTACACTCAGGTGAGATAGTGAAGCCCTGTACACTCAGGTGAGACACTGATGCCCTGTACACTCAGGTGAGGTAGTGATGCCCTGTACACTCAGGTGAGATAGTGATGCCCTGTACACTCAGGTGAGATAGTGAAGCCCTGTACACTCAGGTGAGATAGTGATGCCCTGTACACTCAGGTGAGATAGTGATGCCCTGTACACTCAGGTGAGATAGTGAAGCCCTGTACACTCAGGTGAGATAGTGATGCCCTGTACACTCAGGTGAGATAGTGATGCCCTGTACACTCAGGTGAGATAGTGAGACACTGATGATGCCCTGTACACTCAGGTGAGGTAGTGATGCCCTGTACACTCAGGTGAGATAGTGAAGCCCTGTACACTCAGGTGAGATAGTGATGCCCTGTACACTCAGGTGAGATAGTGATGCCCTGTACACTCAGGTGAGATAGTGATGCTCTGTATGCTCAGGTGAGGTAGTGATGCTCTGTACGCTCAGGTGAGATAGTGATGCCCTGTGTGCTCAGGTGAGATAGTTATACCTTGTACACTGAGGTGAAATAGTGATGCCCTGTACACTCAGGTGAGCTAGTGATGCCCTGTACACTCAGGTGAGCTAGTGATGCCCTGTACACTCAGTTGAGATAGTGATGCCCTGGACATGAGTGAGGAAGTAGTGTTGTGCCAAGTACATTCAGGTGTCTCAATAATGTGGTGCCTTCTGCACAGGAGTAATGCCCTATACATGCAGGATGAGACATCTGTTTGATGCCCTATACATGCAGGATGAGACACCTGTTTAATGCCCTATACATGCAGGATGAGACATCTGTTTGATGCCCTATACATGCAGGATGAGACATCTGTTTGATGCCCTATACATGCAGGATGAGACACCTGTTTAATGCCCTATACATGCAGGATGAGACATCTGTTTGATGCCCTATACATGCAGGATGAGACATCTGTTTAATGCCCTATACATGCAGGATGAGACATCTGTTTGATGCCCTATACATGCAGGATGAGACATCTGTGAGTGATGCCCTATACATGCAGGATGAGACATCTGTTTGATGCCCCATATACATGCAGGATGAGACACCTGATTAATGCCCTATACATGCAGGATGAGACATCTGTTTGATGCCCTATACATGCAGGATGAGACATCTGTTTGATGCCCTATACATGCAGGATGAGACATCTGTTTGATGCCCTATACATGCAGGATGAGACATCTGTTTGATGCCCTATACATGCAGGATGAGACACCTGTTTGATGCCCTATACATGCAGGATGAGACATCTGTTTGATGCCCTATACATGCAGGATGAGACATCTGTTTGATGCCCTATACATGCAGGATGAGACATCTGTTTAATGCCCTATACATGCAGGATGAGACACCTGTTTAATGCCCTATACATGCAGGATGAGACACCTGTTTAATGCCCTATACATGCAGGATGAGACATCTGTTTGATGCCCTATACATGCAGGATGAGACACCTGATTAATGCCCTATACATGCAGGATGAGACATCTGTTTGATGCCCTATACATGCAGGATGAGACATCTGTTTGATGCCCTATACATGCAGGATGAGACATCTGTTTGATGCCCTATACATGCAGGATGAGACATCTGTTTGATGCCCTATACATGCAGGATGAGACACCTGTTTGATGCCCTATACATGCAGGATGAGACACCTGTTTGATGCCCTATACATGCAGGATGAGACATCTGTTTGATGCCCTATACATGCAGGATGAGACATCTGTTTAATGCCCTATACATGCAGGATGAGACACCTGTTTAATGCCCTATACATGCAGGATGAGACACCTGTTTAATGCCCTATACATGCAGAATGAGACATCTGTTTGATGCCCTATACATGCAGGATGAGACACCTGTTTAATGCCCTATACATGCAGGATGAGACATCTGTTTGATGCCCTATACATGCAGGATGAGACATCTGTTTGATGCCCTATACATGCAGGATGAGACATCTGTTTGATGCCCTATATGTTCAGTTGAGGCACCTATTTGATGCCCTGTATTATCAGGTAAGACCCTTTCATGATGCTCTGTACTCTCAGGTAGATATACCAGGTAGGTATGTACTCTATGAACTCAAGTGAGTCACTTGATGAATGCTCCATACATAAAGGTGAGACACAGGTCTGATTCTCTGTATTATCAGGTGAGACACTTAGGTGAAGCAGATTAGTCATACAAAGTAATTCTTTGTACTCTCTGTTGAGACACAGATGTGATGCCCTGTATGCACAGGTGAGACCCAGATGTGATGCCCTGTATGCACGGGTGAGACCCAGATGTGATGCCCTGTATGCATGGGTGAGACCCAGATGTCATGCCCTGTACGCACAGGTGAGACCCAGATGTGATGCCCTGTATGCACGGGTGAGACCCAGATGTGATGCCCTGTACGCACAGGTGAGACACATCTGTGGTTTCCTGGACTTGCTGATGAAACACAGAAGATGCCCCGTACATGTTATCAACTAAAGTTAAAGATGTATATAAAATTAAAATAAAAACAAAATAACTGTCAGCCTCTGTGTAGCTCCATATGAGTGCAGCAATGTGTGTCATGTTGCCCAGGTGCTGCGATGGAGGGAGCAGAAGATGGAGGTGATGCAGCTGGAGATGGAGCTGGAGCAGAAGCGGGCGGAGGAGATGGCAGAACTGGAGCAAGCCGAGCGAGAACAAGAACAGCAACGTCGGCAGAAGCAGAAACACAAGGTGGAGTGTTGATTTGTTATTTTTGTTTGCTTTTTGTCGCACATTTGGTGTTCCAGAGTATGGGAGGATTGACTCGACTTATACAGAGAAGAGAAACTGTAGGATTTGTACACTGTGATGGAGATGGAGGGAAAGGAGAGGAAAAAGAGCAGCCTGGTGCCTCACTGCTAAACAGTGGGAGTTGTACAGTGGTTTGGGGGGGCACTGGGGTAGCCTAGTGGTTAAAGTGTTTGCTCATCACGCCAAAGTCAGGCTTGATTCCCCACATGGGTGCAATGTGTGAAGCCCATTTTGGTGTCACATGATATTGCTGGAATATTGCTAAAAGTGGCGTAAAACGATACTCACTCACTGCAGGTGTGAGGATGTTGGAGTATAGTGAAGTTGCTGTAGACAACACGTGGTGACTCTCTGATAACACTGGGCTTTGTTCACATCTGGAGGTTCATTTTGCTAAACCATTGCATTGTTTGGTTTTCAAGGATTTGGTCGTTAGATATGGGGTATCTAAAATATTATCTTAATTAAATATGATTGTGCTTTCCTATGCAATATTTTCTTGAGAATTGTATATTCAGCATGTGTGACTGTCTTCTGTGACTCTCCAGATCAGTGAGTACCACCAGGAGAGAGAGGAGAGACGACGGAAGCAGGAGGAGAGAGACCGATATCGACTCCAGGAGCTTCAGACCATCCTCGAGGAGCAAGCCGAGTTCGACAGGGAGAGGTGGGCTCATTCATAATTGTTACTATTGAGTTCTGTTAAATAAGCCTGGCATGACTTGTGATGGTGATGCTAAGCCTGGTGTGACTTAAAAATGGTGTTGCAAAGCCTTGTGTTACTGACAGTGGTGTTGTGAAGCCTAGCATAAGTCACAATGGTGTTGCTAAGTGAGGTGTGACTCACAGTGGTGCTGCTAAGCCTGGTGTGAGTCAGAATGGTGCTGCTAAGCCAGGTGTGAGTCAGAATGGTGCTGCTAAGCCTATCATGACTCACAATATTGTTGCTAAGCCAGGTGTGAGCAGAATGGTGTTGCTAAGCCAGGTGTGAGTCAGAACGGTTTTGCTAAGCCAGGTGTGACTCACAATAGTGTTGCTAAGCCAGGTGTGAGTCAGAATGGTGCTGCTAAGCCAGGTATGACTCACAGTGGTGTTGCTAAGCCAGGTGTGAGTCAGAATGGTGCCGCTAAGCCAGGTATGACTCACAGTGGTGTTGCTAAGCCAGGTGTGAGTCAGAATGGTGTTGCTAAGCCAGGTGAGTCAGAATGGTGTTGCTAAGCCAGGTGTGAGTCAGAATGGTGCTGCTAAGCCAGGTGTGAGTCAGAATGGTGTTGCTAAGCCAGGTGTGAGTCAGAATGGTGTTGCTAAGCCAGGTGTGAGTCAGAATGGTGCTGCTAAGCCAGGTGTGACTCACAGTGGTGTTGCTAAGCCAGGTGTGACTCACAGTGGTGTTGCTAAGCCAGGTGTGACTCACAGTGGTGTTGCTAAGCCAGGTGTGACTCACAGTGGTGTTGCTAAGCCAGGTGTGACTCACAGTGGTGTTGTTGCAGGGTGAAGTTCCGGGAGGAACAGCTGGAGAGACGGAGAGAGGAGAGACAGATAGAACAGGAGGCCAAAGCCCAAGAGGACATGGAGCGAGAGAGGAGACTGGAGGCTCTCCGAGAGCAGGTCAGAGAGGCACCATGCTTGTGATACATTAGAAAATGTTCCCTATCATCTCATTCAAGTCATGTTAGATGACTAGCTTGGCGAGATGGTCCGATGCTGGCTGAGTAACTTTGTTATTGCAGGTCATCATGCACCAGCCATGGGATTGTTGCTCATGATATCAATCACTGGTTTGTCATCTTAGGAATTGACTTTTTACAGGCCACCTCCATGTACCTGTAACACTCATGAGTTACACAACACAACATTCAAATAAGCTAAAATTCAAGCTAAAATGACAATTTACAGTTTAGAATACCTCAGCTCATCATAAGTAGTATTCTGAATATGTAGATGCTTTGTTCTTTGTAGGTTTTTGTCCCTTAAATGATGACTCTGGAATGTGTGACATTCATGTTATAGGTGCGGCCTATTGCAGAGAGTGACCCCGAGAGACTGCTCAAACAAACAGAGGTAAGGATTGTGCACACCTGTGTCTGTTCTGCAGGTGTGTTGACAGTCGTGTATGTAAATGGTGTATTGTATGCAGATTTATGCAAATATCTTCTGTTTGTAGGTTATAATCAGATCATTTCCTGAGACAATACCTGTCTCTGTCAAGATGACCCATGAAGATCTGGGTTAGAATTGATCTCCAGCAACCCATGCTTGTCATAAGAGGCGACTAACGGGATCGGGTGGTCAGGATGGTTGGTTTGGTTGTATGGGCAAGCGTTCGACCTTTTATCAGAACCTCTGTGGTTCGAATGCAAAAATGAGACTAAGAATCTGTTGACACCCAAGGATAATGTTTGCAAAAATTCATAGCAAATTTTTGGGAATGGTACAATATATGCAAATGAGTAATACCTGCCTGTATAAAGATGTCGATCATACAGTGCCAAGAGTGTTGCATTTGGACCATAGCCCCTGATGATAAACTGGATAATTTTAATAAGTGGATCCACACCTTAAAACATGCTGTACAGTGTTACCTGGAGAGCGTCAGGTTGTTGTAAGAAATGCCTGTCTGTTGCTGTGGTTACAGGCATGGCAAGCAAGGCTGGCAGAGGAAGAATTTGAAGAGAGTAACATCCAGAAGCCCCTGTTTGATATCAACACCTTCACAGCCAATCAGGTACTTCAGTTTAGGGCAGTGGGGTAGCCTAGTTGTTAAAACACTCCTTGTCATGCTAAATCCTGGGTTCGATTCCCCACATGGGTACATTGTGTCAGAGACCATCTATTATATGGTCTCTGATTGTGTGAAGCCCATTTCTGGTGTCTCCTGCCGTATTATTGCTGGAATATTGCAAGAAGCTGTGTAAACCCTAACACAGTCACTCACTTTTAGTGAGAATTTATATGTTATGAGGTTGTGTACTTGTTCCTATAATGTCCTAGGCCAAATCCTAGAAAAGTGCCTATCTTTTAGGATCTTTAGCAGCAGTAAATGTGTTATCCAGTAATTAGTATGATACCTCCCAAACTCAGGAAATTCTTGTTGATATGGAACTAGCCACAGAATGTATCAGGTTACTAAAAACAAACAAGGTTTACCCCACTGCTGAACACACAGTCCTCAGACCAGCTGCCTGACTATAAACCATGGTCTAATGAAGGGTGACAAGCACTGGTGTTCAACATAGTCAAGATATGAAGTATGGGTGATCAGGCTGGGTGTATCATATTTCATGATTTTGATACTATCTCTACATTTAGACTTGGAGTATGGATTGAAGGAATCAGTATGGAAATATCGAGACCAGGCTTGTTTGTTACAATAAACATGTTCTGAGCTGACAGACTGGAGCATTAGATACATATAGTTTTCCTACAGTTGTGTTTTTTATCACAGACATATATACCCATGTTATCGACCAATGTCAGAACTGGTTGTCATGGTTACAGGTGACATCAGACCCCAGGGTGAGGCTGGAACAGAAGCTCCGCGATGCAGGCCTGCACAAGTCCGACTATGCCCGACAAGTTCTGTCCCAGGTCAAACCTCTTCATCCCCCGAGGAAGGACATGAAATCGACCGTCTTGAAGTATGACTGACCCCCAGAGGGTGGAACCAGCAATACTGCCCCATCACTGTCAGTGCATCTGGCATCACCTCCAGTCATCCTGTGACTGGACCTAGAGGTGTTCTGATACACATACCTCACCTATACTTGCATGGGGTGAACAAGCTGGTCAAATGTTGCCTTTACTATGCCATTTTCTGGGACATCTTTGTGGTTGATGTCAGACAGTGTGTGTTGAGTAACTGGTGATTTTTGACAAGCATTTTTATCGTACTATGCAATCAAGTTTGGCATTTTGATAGTATAATGTTGGTTTAGGTGGTTATCTGGCTGAGTTTGAAACTTTATAAGCATTGATTGATGCGTCCGTGTTCCATGTGGTATCCAGTGGGGTATGGGTGAGTGTATGTCTGGGATGCATTCATACGTTGGTGAATGAGGACATTCCTGAGCATGTTGTGTGGAAGATATTTTAACTGTCACGTAACCAGGAATGTGTGTCATAAAAACAGGTGTCATGCATTCAGGAATGTGTTTCATGTAACAAGTGTCATGCATTCAGGAATGTGTGTCATGTAACAAGTGTCATGCATTCAGGAATGTGTGTCATGTAACCAGGTGTCAATATACAACCAGGAATGTGACCTTTAACCAGGAATGTGTGACATACAACCAGGAATGTGACATTCAACCAGGAATGTGACATACTACCAGGGATGTGTGACATTCAACCAGGAATGTGACATACTACTATGAATTTGTGACATACTACCAGGAATGTGTGACATTCAACCAGGAATGTGACATACAACCAGGAATGTGTGACATTCACACATTCAACCAGGAATGTGACATACAACCGGGAATGTGTGACATACAAACAGGAATGTGTCACATTCAACCAGGAATGTGTGACATGTAACCAGTGTCATGCAGTCAGGAATGTGTGTCATGTACACAGCTGTCACATACTACCAGGTCTATGTGTGTCATGTACACAGCTGCCACATACTACCAGGTCTATGTGTGTCATGAACACAGCTGTCACATACTACCAGGTCTATGTTTGTCATGTACACAGCTGCCACATACTACCAGGTCTATGTGTGTCATGAACACAGCTGTCACATACTACCAGGTCTATGTGTGTCATGTACACAGCTGTCACATACTACCAGGTCTATGTGTGTCATGTACACAGCTGTCACATACTACCAGGTCTATGTGTGTCATGTACACAGCTGTCACATACTACCAGGTCTATGTGTGTCATGCTGCTGTCACATACTACCAGGTCTATGTGTGTCATGTACACAGCTGTCACATACTACCAGGTCTATGTGTGTCATGTACACAGCTGTCACATACTACCAGGTCTATGTGTGTCATGTACACAGCTGTCACATACTACCAGGTCTATGTGTGTCATGTACACAGCTGTCACATACTACCAGGTCTATGTTTGTCATGCTCTGAAGAATGCATAATCCAACTGGGAATGTGTGGAATGTGACTATGTGCAGACAGCCCACTGCTACAAATATACTGTACATCATTGAAAACGCACCAGTCTAAAATTGTCCATATTTTCATCAAGATGGATTTCAGCATGACAATATAACTAACATGAAGTCGAAGGGCATGTCGAGTTAAAAAAATGCTTTAGAAACAAATTCCTGTCCACAGTATGACTCTTAGTTCCAAAATGCATCAACATGCAGCCATGCCATGAAAAAAGTGCGTATTTCATTCTGAAATCATACTGACTGTGACATTAAAAGCAGGTGTATGAGAACCGATTCTCATTGCTTCAGTAACGATTGTGAAACGAGGACAGAGATACCAAGGTTAACTCCTCACGAAAGAGAACGTGCACTAGGCATGATTCAGGTTGGCACCAGCAGCAGGGATATTGCTCGACAACTTGGACTTGGCCACTCCACCATCGTTAGGCTTCATAGACGACATCAGTAGACAGGCAGCACCCGTGACCTTCAATGACCTTGGCAACAACGTGTTACGCTCCATCAGGATCGTCATATTGAACTTGTCCATATCAGTGATTGAACACTGCCAACTGCCAGGAGTGCTGCACTAGTTCAAGGTTGAAGTGGGGGTCATCAACGCTGATTCCATGCGACGCCGATTCCATGCGACGCCATCTACACCTACAGGGCTCCATGCTCGACGTCCTTACGTTGGACCAATTCTGACTGACCGACACCGTAATGAGCGTATACAATGGGCTAGCAGGCATTTTCAGTAAAGGTTACAACAGTGGCATGGTGTGGTAGTCACTGACGAGTCACGTCTTCATCTACGTAATGTTGACGGCCGATTACGTGTTTGGCGTAGACGTGGTGAACGTTATGCTGATTTGTGTGTGGTTCAGACAGACCTTTGGGTGGTGGGATTGTCATGGCCTGGGGTGGGATAAATTACAATCACAGGACTGCCTTCAGGTCTGTCAAGGTAGAGTTAATGCCCTTTATTACCGTGAGCAGATTCTTCAGAATCACATCGTATCTGTCTTCAATCACCACCAAGATGTCCATACTTTTCAACAGGACAACGCACGGGCACACACAACAAGACTTTCCATGCAGTATCTGGCCCAGTAACACATCCAGGTTATTCATTGGCCAGCACAGTCGCCAGATGTATCCCCATGGAGCACTTGTGGGACGAAATTGGTCAAAGTCTTTCGCGGCGACAACAGATGCGAAACATCCGGGAACTTGCGGCTGCACTACTGCAGATGTTGAATGCCATCCTCAAGAACTCTATTCGGACGCTTATTGACTCAATGAGGAGACGTTGAACTGCATGTGTCAAAGCAAATGGCGGTCACACGATTTTCGATTTGACCCGACGTGTGTTTGATCCTTTCTGACTGTGGAACATTTCAATGAATGAGCGTCTTTTCTGTGTTGTTATTTTTGTCAGGCGTCCATCTGTGATTATCCACTCAATAAATATCAATTCCTTACACGTGCTTTTAATAATCTGAACTTTTATAAGTGATGCGCTTTCAATGATGTTTAGTATATATTCCATTATTGTCATCTGTAGTTAACTGACAAGACATGCTGTCTGCAGACATATATTGACTGTCTGCAAATATATACTCTCTATGCAAGAGTTACGTAACAAATATATGTGCAAGTTCCTATTATCATTTAACAGTCATCACACTTTGTGTGTGCATGCGTGTGCATGTGTGTGCATGTGTGTTGCACCTTGTGCTCCAGCTACACCAGCAAAAGAAACAAACAGTTGTTTCTGTATCATATCATCGATCGTATATCATATTCACCTCGAGTTTGCCTTGTGTTTTTCTGCTGAGAACATTAGATGAAAGCCAGATTCACAGATGGATTGATCGGGTGGCGGTGGGATGGGTCTTGGTGGTGTGAGGAACGTGTGATCAGCACCTTCCACCAAACCAAAACTAAAGTCAAGTACTGAATCGCCACATTTACAAAGTCACGGATAGGACATGCTGCTGATGTAAAGGATAACTATTATCCTCGATCATCTTGTGGGGTGTATTGACCAGTACATCCACATCTTTGTTTTAGATTCAGGAAACTGTTGATGTATTCACCGATACATCTGGACAACTGTGAAGTGGTTTACCGTTAATTTCATGTGATGTGTAAGTCAAAGACTCTGTTCCAGATGACAAAATGTTCCATTGTATTAATTTTGTCAAGCGGTGTTTTCCAATGGAACATTATCATACCCTGCACCTTTTTTGTGGGAAAACGTTGTGGTGAATTTCATTCTCTCACACTGACCAAGTGTTTTAAGACCGAAATGCGCTGGTGAAATACCTACCTGCAACGGACCATAAATATGCAGGTTGATTTCTGCAAATCACAGAAAATATGTTCCTCATGTACACACTTAATTCCACTGGACGATATACATTTACATGTGTAATGTTTATTCCTGGCGGAACAGATTCACGCAGAACTGAATTTCGTTAACAAAGGTCCAAAGTGAGACCTGACCGAAACGTACATAAAATATTCGAGTGGCCTTTGACTTTCCATTCATAACCTCGCCTCACGTTAGTGGCTTGACAACCTAAATATGTTGGGCGAGACCCACGGATTGCCGAACAGCACCTGAGGATCAATTATAACAGGTGACTTAATCAATATATCGACCATTGGCAAATTGCACCGAGCCACCGCTGTGATGTCAATATATTGAATAGAAGCCAATCTTCTTGATTGTCTCCGGGAGAGTGGGGCTCGTTGAAGTCTTGTCTTACCTCTGCATTTTGTATTGAATTCTGAAATCTATATTTTACATAGTCTTGCAGTAAAGTGATAGGCCGCTGAACTGGTTTGGTTGTGGTTGTTTGTGGTAATTTGCCTCTGCTAACACTCCACAAGATTGAGACGACATTAGAATACACTGTTTCAAGTTGAGGCAAATGTACAAGTAATTGGATATTGGTTACAACAACGCATGGGCCAAATTATCACCAGTTGGAATAGGGGCCCTCACCTTTCCCACATATATTTTATTATGTAAAGTTTCGGTAAAGAGGGGGCTGAGGGTAGCCTAGTGGTTAAAGCGTTTGCTTGTGAGGACGAAGACCTGGGTCCGATTCCCCACATGGGCACAATGTGTGAAGCCTATTTCTGGTGTCCCCGCTGTGATGTTGGCTCACTCTTCAGACCCCGAATGTTACTCCACCTCGCCCTATTTACCAAACTAACTGAGATTTAATAATATGCTTAGTTGTCTTTTGACGTACTTCTCTCTCTTTCTGGACCGCCTCCGTGGTGTAGTGGTTAGAGCGTCCGCCCGGAGAGCGGAAGGTCGCGGGTTCGATCCCCGACCGCGTCATACCAAAAGACGTTAAAATATGGTACTTGTTGGTCCCTGCCTGGTGCTCGGCATTAATGGGTACATCAAGGACTGGTCGGCTCGGAGTCAGTATAATGTGTCTGAGTGGGGTATTCATGCTTCACTGCGGCATGGTATCTCAGTGGGCTAGCACTATAAAACCAGCTTCAGTCTGGGTTAGTACAAGCAGACGCACCTACACATACACACGCATGCACGTCGTCATATGAGCGAAATATTCTCCAGCGCGACGTTAAACCCAATTTCACCTCACCTCACCTCACCTCACCTCACCTCACCTCACCTCTCTCTTTCTCTCGTACAGTGAAGATCATTGTTAGAATCTTCAGCAACCCATGTTTGTCGTAAGAGGCGACTTGTTGGACCGGGAGGTCAGGCTCGCTGACTTGGTTGACACATGTCATCGTATTCCAACTGTATAGATCGATGCTCCTGATGTCAATCACTGGATTCTCTGGCCCAGACTCAATTATTTCACGACCGCCGCCATATGGCTGAAATATTGCTGAGTGTGTTTGTAAACAACAAACAAACAAAAACAAATTCTCGTTTGTGAACGGTTACGCTGAGAGAAGCAGATGGGCTTTGACCCAGGAGGTTGTCATGACAGACGAACACTTTAACCACTAGGCTACTATCGACGCTACTGGAGGTGCAGGGTAGGAATATGGGAGATCTTAATGGAATCTAACAGGACCCCAGGTACCGTCAAGTTGTAATCCACGTGAAGTACCTGATCACCGGATTTGGTCCCCCACCTGATTTCAAGAACTATCAGTGAGTGAGTTTAGTTTTACGCCGTGCTCAGCAATATTCCAGCTATATAGCGCGGTCTGTAAATAATCGGGTCTGAACCAGAAATCCAGTGATCAACAGCATGAGCATCGATCTGCGCAAGTTGGAACCGATGACGTGTCAACCA